ACACTCTTAAACTAAACTCTGAATAGGTCAAATATTTTACACAAATTTCCATAAGGGAAAGCTGGACCATAATAATGTAGTTTAATCAATAATCAAAACTGTGCTTTATTACAGACTTTCAGTTTCAGCTGTCTGATGCCTTTGAACTAACCTGTATCACTTCTGCTGTCAATTAAAGAACAAATAACAATAATCATTGCTGCTATTGATTAGCTGTCACAGTTGTGTCAGTCATTAGGCTAATGAATTTATATCTTTAATCCTCAAAAGCATGCAGTTTTTCATGAATAGGAATACTTACCATTGTATACATTTTTTCATGACTAGGAAGACTTAACATCAACATTGTGAAAATGCCAATACTATACAAAGCAATCTATACATATAAATATAATGCAATCCCAGTCCAGATCCCAACACCAGTCTTTAAAGAGATGGAAAAAAATGATCACAAACTTGATATGGAAAAGAAAGAGACCTCTGATAAGCAAAGTACTACTTAAGAAGAACAAAATTGAAAGCATCTCACTCCTGAACTCAAAATTTACTACATGGCCACAGTGGTCAAAACAGCCTAGATACTGGTATAATGAAAGATACACAGATCGGTGGAACAGAAATGAGAACCCAGAAATGAATCCTTTTGTCAACTGATCCTTGACAAAACACATTAAATGGGGAAAATATAATCTCTTCAACAAATGGTGTTGGCAAAATTGGAAGTCTTTTTGAAGAAGAATGAAACAATACTAACATCTCACACTATACACAAAACCAACTCAACCTGTATTAATGACCTAAATGGAAATCCTGAACTATAAAGATCATCAGTGAAATAAACAAGGACAAACCTAGGGGCTTGTACTAGAGTACATGGCATAAATATACTATAAAACATGGCATAAAATACACAAGCACTAGAAAACAAAAATAGATGACTGGGACCTCTTATAAATCAGACTCTTATGTATATCAAAAGATTTAGCCAAAAGAGTAAAGAGGGAGCCACAGACTGGGCAAACATTTTTGCAATGACATATCAGACAAGGGACTAATAGTTAAAATCTATAGAAAACCACAATGCCTCCAAGAGAACAAACATCCCAATTGAAAAATGGGCATAGGCCATGAATAGATTCTTTATCAAGGAAGACATTCAGGCAGCCAACTAACATATTGAGAAATGTTCACTATCATCAACCACTTGTTGTTAAGTGTTGTTGAGTCAATTCTGACTCATAGCTACCCTGTATAGGGTTTCCAAGGAACAGCTGGTGAGCTTGAACCACTGACCTTGCAGTTCAAACTGACTTGCAGTCCAATGCATTAACCTACAGTACCACACCATTTGTTGTTGTTGTTAGGTGTCATCGAGTTGGTACTGATTCATAGCGACCTTATGCACAACAGAATGAAACACTGTCCAGTCCTGGGCCAACCTCACAATTGTTGTCACATATGAGCCCATTGATGCTGCCACTTTGCCAATCCATCTTGTTGGGGGGCTTCCTCTTTTTCTCTGACCCTCCACCCTACCAAACATGATATCCTTCTCCAGTGACTGGTCCCTGCTGACAATATGTCTGAAGAATGAGAAACTAAGTTTGGCCATCCTGGCCTCCAAGGAGCACTCTGGCTGCACTTCTTCCAACACAGATCTGTTGGTTCTTTTGTCAGCCCATGGCACTTGGAATATTCTCCTCCAACATCATAACTCAAAAGCGTCAATTCTTCTATGGTCTTTATTTGTTGTTGTTGTTAAGTGCCATCGAGTGGGGTCCGACCCATGGTGACCCTGTACAGGGTTTCCGAGGGTGTAAATCTTTACGGGAGTAGAAAGCCTCATCTTTCTCCCGCGGAGCGACTGGTAGTTTCGAACCGCTGACCTTAAGGTTTGCAGCCCGATTCGTAACCACTACGCTACCAGAGCTCCTTTATTAGAGAGGTGCAAATCAAAACAAGAAGATCTCATCTCATACCAGCATTAATAGCAAAGTTCACAAAAACAAAATAACAAATGCTAGAGGGGGTGTTGAAAAACTGAGACACTCCTACATTGCTGGCGGGATCTTAAAATGGTCAACCACTGTGAAAAATGGTATGGCAATTCCTTAGAAAGCTGGAAATAGAAATACCTTATGACTCAGCAATCCCTTTACTTGGTATATATTCACAAGAAATAAAAGCCAGGACATATGCACACCAATGTTCATCACAGCACTATTCATAGAGCAAAAAGCTGGAGATATTTTAAGTGCCCACCATTGGAAGAATGGATAAGTAAACTTTGATATAACCACACAATGGAATACTATTCAACACTGAAGAATAGTGCTGAATCTGTGAAACACCTCATAACACAGATGAACCTTGAGCACATAATAGTGAATGAAACTATTTAATCAGTAAAGGACAATACTGTGTGTGACCATTATTGTAAAAACTTAAGAAAAAGTTTTCATATTAAAAGACATATTTTTTTTGACAGTTGTCAGGAGTGGGAAGGAGGAGAGAGGAACTAACTGGCTAGACACATGTTAGTTCCATGATGGGTAGGGCAATATACAAGAAGAGGGAGGGTGGCAGAAAAATGATGAAGATAGGTGAAGACGCAGGGAGGTTGCATGGGCTAAAGGTGACAAAGGTAAATAGTGATATATACACAACCTTGGAACAGTGGATTGAGACATAGGCTGAATGGGTAAGGGAGGAAGAGGGGGAAACACATGTATTTATATACCCCACAAATATGAGTTTCAAAGAGGATTATTTGTGCACAGCTATGAATGTGGTAGAGCATACAGCAGGAAAAAAAGCACAAAAACTTCCTGTTGTTGTAGGTTCCAACTCATAGCAACCCTGTATAGGGTTTCCAAGGAGCAGCTGGTGATTTTGAACCACTGACCTTGGGTTCAAAATGACCTTGCGGTCTAGTTCTTTATCCCACAGCACCACACCAGGTAAACTTCCTAGATATTATCAAACATCTTAAAGCAATGAGATGATAAGCCTGGGGTCTCAGTGGGTCTAACATAGTCCACAAAGACCATGTTCTACATTCTACTTTGGTGAGCAGGGTCTGGGATCTTGAAAGCTTATGAGTGCAGCTGTTGGTCTCTCCACTGGTGAGGAAGAAAGAAGCGTGATAAGAATCGAAAAGACTTGGAATCTATTAGCCCAGTGTATTAAGGGTACATGTGAGTCCACGACTCTGAGACCAGAACTAAACCATGCCCCCGCTACCACACCAACTGCTCTGAAAGGGTCCCGGATAGAGTATGTGAATATGTGAAACAAAACACAAATTAAAAACAAACAAAAAGGCAGGTTTACTGGTCTGAATGAGACTGGAGAAACCGGAGACCGGCCCTCCACCACCCTTCAGGTCTGGAAAGGAACGCACCCAACACTAGTAAGGTATGCTCACTTTGGAATGCTCAGTAATTCAAAATCAAAGTTGAGAAGGGATGGGAAGGTGGGTGAAATGCAAATAGGAACCACGCAGGAGACAGCAAGATAAATGTTGTTGAATGGAGGGAATTGTAATCAGTGAAATGAAACGAAGTGTATGATTTGTTGAGTGTAAAGCTGATTATCTTCATACTGTAATATTGTCTGTAAATCTTCATACAAGACACAATAAAAAGTTAAACAACAAAAAAGTAAGCATTTTTTTTACTCCCATTTTCCAGACAAGCAAATTGAGACTTGGTTACATCAGTCACCAGTTGGTGGCAGAGCAGAGGTTGAAATTCGAGTCTGATTCTAATGCTCTCACACCACGATAACCGGAACATAAATGAATCGGATAAAAAGGATTTGGATTGTAATCCAAACGAGTAAAAAAGAAAACGAATTGGAGGAGGCGAGGGGTAAATTTAAAGACGATGCGAGAGAAAAATCGGATCCCAGGACATACGCCACCATTGCTAACCAGCCACAGGGCCGGGCAAGAAGCCCGGCGGGGGGCGCCCACAGCGGAAGTCGGGGGGCGCCTTCCGGATTTCGTAGCGGAAGTGGCTCGTCGGCATTGCGGTGTGGCTTTGGTGCGGCAAGTCTCTGTAAGGCTTGCGTTCATTGCAGGCCACGAGGTGCTTTTGAGCCCGTGTCCAGACGCGTGTGTAAGGCAAGATGTCGCATCCCTCCCCCCAAGCTAAACCTTCCAACCCCAGCAACCCCCGAGTCTTCTTTGATGTGGACATCGGAGGGGAACAAGGTGAGCAGAGTGCGAGGGTCGCGTGAGGACCCCCGAGAGGCGGTGGTTAACTGGGTTCTAGGGGCCCTTAAGGGTGAGGCGCGACTCGGCCGGGGGCTGCTCAGAGCAGCCTTCTGGAACAAGCTTGGGGATCCAGGGCAGAGTCGAACCAGCGCTCTTGTACGAATGTAGTCGGTCGTAGGGGAAGTTTCTGGAAATTTCTGCTTCGAAGTTTGTGGCGGTCTTTGCTCTTCTGTCTCGCCCCATTTGGTTGCATCACCTCGCTGCCTTGCGCCATAGAATTGCCATCTTATTTTATTTCTGCAGTGGGACAGTTCAGAAAGCCCCTGGAATATGCAAACGCATAGCGCTGGACTCTTAAATTCACTATATCTTCTGACACATGTAATAAATCAGTAGATGTCAGGTTATTTATAAATTAAAGCAAGTTGTTTGCGAATGTAGTTATTTTTTCCTTGTTACTGATTCTTAATGTACAGGTTCAGACGGGAATATTTTGGCAATGGAGAAATGAGCTCAGTGTAATATGTAGTTAGTTGCCTAAGTTACATAGCTCCTAAGTTTCTAAGAGCTTTTGAGTTTGGGCGTGCGTTGCCTGGTAACTCATGGGCTCTTGTTCTGGAACATATTAGCAATTCGAGCCAGGTCTTGTATGTTTGAATGGTGCACGCATGGGTCCATGAGGATTCAGGGACCCTGTGGGAGACCATGGATGGATACATACGTTTGTTTCAAATTAAATTAGATATGCAACATTTAATATTAAATTTGAGTATTACAAAAATAACCAAAAAATAAATTTGATGATTCATTAACAATCTCCATCACCATAATCGTTCCATTTGTTTGTTTTGCATACTGATAAGATTCCTTTTTTTTTTTATTTTAGTTGGTCGAATTGTCTTAGAGTTGTTTGCAGATATTGTGCCTAAAACTGCAGAAAATTTCCGTGCATTATGTACAGGAGAAAAAGGCATTGGACCCACAACTGGGAAACCTCTCCATTTCAAAGGATGCCCTTTCCATCGAAGTATGTGTAAATTGCCTGAATCTGATTATTGTTCCAAGTACATAGTCAAGTCCTGTTTGATAGGCGTTAAGAAAAGGAAGCATTAAGTAGAGCGTGAGGATTAAAAGTGCTCTTAGTTTCCAAGATGATGCTTTGAAATCTGAGGCAATATGACTCAATTTCATAAAGGTTGGGCTGTAAGAGGTGAAATTAATAAATGAAAGCTTGCTTATCATGTATTTTAGGGGTCGCTATTGACTCAACAAGGAGCTCTGGTAGCGTAGTGCTTACGAATCGGGCTGCGAACCTTAAGGTCAGCAGTTCGAAACTACCAGCTTCTCCGTGGGAGAAAGATGAGGCTTTCTGCTCCTGTAAAGATTTACAGCTTCGGAAACCCTGTACAGGGTTGCTATGAGTCTGAAGCGACTCCTCAGCACTTAACAATGACAACAAATTATGTATTTGGGAAAGGACACTAGGTTTATATGTAAAGAAACAAACTATCCTAGCTTCACCAGTCCTCTAACTCTTAATATTTTACATAAATTTGAGTAAAACAGAATCAGTATTTTTTTGTAAAATACTTAAAAAATATCTTCTAGTTATTAATTTGGAGTCCTAGTTCGGTTCTCTGGGATAAGCAGTGGACTGCTAATTACAAGGTTGGTGCTTCAGACCCTCCAGCGGCTCCTTGAAAACCTTGTTCAGGGTTGCTATGAGTTGGAACCAAGTCGACGGCACTTGAAAACATTTGCTAAAGAGATAATTGTAATTTATGTTATTAAATAGAATTAAAGTTGAGATATCTTGGGAGCATAGTTAAGAACTTTGCGCTTTGGAGTCTTAGTGACAATTGTATAGAGAAGGTGCCATGTGGACTAAATCTTGGAGGGTTAGTGGGAAATTTACAATAGGTCGGACTCAGATTGTGAAAAGCCTGAAGAGTTTGGAGTTGTGGGTATGGCTGGGGGAAAGAAACAGTGATAGGATTCAAGTTGGGTTTTAGAAGGCTGTTTGTAGTTCATATGCATTATTGACATTGCTGAAATCATTCATTTCTTATTCTCTAATAACTGTTTGCCTTTTTTGTAGTTATTAAGAAATTCATGATTCAGGGTGGAGACTTCTCAAATCAGAATGGGACAGGTGGAGAAAGTATTTATGGTGAAAAATTTGAAGATGAAAATTTCCATTATAAGGTAAAGTATATGATAATGGTATGTTTATTGCTGATACAAAGGTTGCTGATGTTGACTACTTGGGTTGAAAAGCCAATAAATGTCTCATGCTTACATTCTTTTCTAAAAGATATGTACATATTTTTAATATGGAACATTTACACCGAGTGGCGGTTTTATTTGGCTTAAATATTACAGTTATTTCAGTGTGACCCTGTTCTTATATGCTTCTGTTTAGCCATTGAATTTTTAAAAGTACAGGCAGTCCCCGGGTTACGAATGTCCAACTTAAAACAGATACCTCCTATTTGTCCTTTAATTCAAGGTTTTGAAATGGTTCTGTCATGGCTGATAAAGTGAAACAGACCTAAATTGTTACAATTTGGGTGACTCAAGAGACGGTAAACTGGAGCGGGAAAAATTACAGCTTGAAGGCCTGAAATGGGAGACTCTAGAGGCATAGTGAGTCCTTGAGGCTCCTGAAGTCTGAGAATAGATTATTGGCAGGCTGGCAGTGCAGTTGGCTGTCATTTTTGAGTGAATCATCACCATCTTTGAGCAAAGTAGAACTGTTGCAGCTATGCTTCCTGGTTGAAACCCTGCTTTATTGCTAAGTAAATTTGCCCAAATTTTGAATGAATGAACCAACTTCTACTCGCAACCAATTTTTCATGGTCACCTTCACTTGCTGCACATGCAGCTTTTAAGTCATTAAAAAGCCTTCCAGCCTTTTTTTTACACTGAAATAAGGTGAAATAAAGGACCAAACGCATCTGGTCAGATTAACCTACAAATTCTTACAAGACGTGGGAATGGATCTTGTTCATAATCTGGGTACTGCCTGTACAGCCACCATATGGCAAATTGTTTCCAGGAAAAATGTTCTCATTATGGTAAGGATGGTAACTTGTGCATCTTTATCCTTGAATTTGAAGAGCAACAAAATCACCGATAATATCCAGGATTTAAGGGGATTTGCAAACTAGCGGATATGGTTAATGTCCAAGCTCCTAAAGGACATTAATGGTGCCTGTGCCTTATCTACATTGTCCCAAGATGTAATCGGGGTATATTGCATCATTCAAGTTATAAGAATGGACATGTAAGTATAAAAAGTAAAGTGATATGTTTGGAATTGAGGAGTATGAACAAGGTAATTTGGGCAGTTTGCAAAGAAAGTATCATCAGTCTATCAAAAGTATTTATTGACAGTGACTATAATGCTCAGTGGAGTTCTGGTGTGGCGCTATAGGAAAAACACTGGATTGCTAACCACAAGGTCGGTGGTTTAAACCCACGAGCAGCTCCTTGGATACCTGTTCACAAGCTGTGAGTCAGAATCAACTTGACGGCATTTAACAACAATAATGCTCAAGATTGTCACTGGCACCAAAGGACTAATTGAAAAAAATGAAAAGCCTCAATAACAAGCAATTTCTCATTTTACTGGAGAGATAAGGTTAAATTACATGGGACCACTGGGGAATAACATAATAGTATGCAATAAGTGCTAAATTGATTGACCTTTCTGTATATACAGTAGGACAGAGTTGTTGTTAGTATCATCAAAATTATTAGGGAAGACACTGAGGAAAAATGGGTATTTAACCTGGGCCTTGCAAAGTAGCTGAGATTAGATTAGGCAGAGTATAGTTTGGTTTTTGTATGCATAATAAGAATTAAAGTATAGATGGAAGATTGAAGGAGAGATGTGGAAGAGAAGACAAATACAATGGGAAGCTGCGGAAATAATATTAGTATTTTAGGTAACGTGGGAAAAGCACTAAACCAAAGAAGCTACCAGAATGAAAACAACGAAGGAAATGTGATCAGGTTTATGAAAAGAGGCCTATAGAAAGGGCATGTGGTACTTTTACAAACTTGAAAGATGAAATAAGATTTAGATTGGAGGGGCAGAAACAATTTAGATAGACAAATTTAATATAATGCATGGACTAACAAAGAATAAATTTCAAAAGCCTGAGAGATAAAGTGGAAAGATGAATATAAATAGGATTTCACAGAACCTTTAAACACATTATGTCAAGGTAGAATTTTGAAGGGGCGATTCACTAGAGACTAGTCATAACATTTGGATTCTTTTTGAAATTAGGAAAATATCTACGTGAATGGCCTTTGTAAGTTCAGTATCCCATTACTATTCCCAGTTTACTTGATTGTAAAGGTAGAATCTTGGCGTAGGTCCATAAGTGAGCAAGACTGTTAGGTGGTATCCGAAGAAACATAAGAAGGGTAAAATATACAATTAGACCTCCTTAATCCCTCAGCATCGTTATCTTAGAAATGAAGTATGTGTATCTTTGTCTAGAAATTTAGAAATAACACCTCCCTTGACTATTGTTCATACAATTTTACTTGGTTTCATAAGTTTTTCTTCAAGTTTATGATGTGATTAAGGTACCCCATGTTCTGTGAGTTTATGGTTACAATTTATGGAAAGTAAAATTACCTTATGTTGTTGGGTGTAAATAATATTATTGTTCACTCTAAGTTTTATGTGAGTGGTTGTTTATTGAATGGTCAATTCAGACGTGTTCCTTTAACCTTGGTTTTCTTTTAATGATTTTTATTCTTGCAGCATGATCAGGAAGGTTTATTGAGCATGGCAAATGCTGGACCCAATACAAATGGTTCTCAGTTCTTTATCACAACAGTTCCAACTCCTCATTTGGATGGTAAACATGTGGTATTTGGCCAAGTCATTAAAGGCCTGGGCGTGGCAAGGATACTGGAAAATGTAGAAGTGAAAGGTGAAAACCCTGCCAAAGTAAGTAAAAAGATACAGTGAAATAAATATACTTACTATCTTATCCATTGTCTGAAGGAAATACTTGTATAAAAAGATTAGGTGACTTATGAGCTATTAAGAGAAAAAAAATGTTGGCTTTTAATAGAGCCTGGATATGTCACTTTTTTCTTTGATAGTGTTTTCAACAATGGGAAAGATTCGTTTTAAAGGAGACTTTAATTCTTATTTCAGCTTCAGTTTTGGTAATCCTTGACCAGTGGTTTAAGTCTTCCTATATTTGCAAATCTTTGAGTCAGTATATACAGTTGTATATTTATAGAAAGAGAAGAAGAAACTAGGAATTTTGTTTGTAGTCTGTCATTAACTAGTGGTTTAACCTAGATCTTTGTTTCTTAATTTCTCTTGCTCCTTTTCCTCATTCAGTATAAATTACTGAAGCGTTTATAGAGTATATTATTTCTAAAGATCCTTTATTAAATGTCTGAATCAAAATGACTATAACACCACCCAACTTAATTAATAAGGTTGTGATTAGGAGTTGGGAATTCAATTATTGGGGAGAGGTAGGCTGTCCCTTGCTCAGTGTATCAAGGGAACAGTATTAAACTGAAAGCACATGTCTCACCTAAAGAAAATTACATAGAAAATGATAAATTTTTTACTTACTCTATATCCACCAAGCTCTTGAATAGCAGTAAAATACTTTTGTAAATAATGACATCGTCATATCATTTGGAATATTTATAAAAGGGCATTATAATCCTTGTATATATAGCACTGCAGAATAAGCACTGGACTGGAGTCCTGGTGTGGCACTGTAGGGTAAGCATTGTCTGTAAAATCATTGTGAATTGCAAGGTTAGCAGTTCAAACTCACCAGCCACTCCTCAGAAACCTTATACAGGGTCGCTGTTAGATGGAACCGACTTGATGGCCCTTAAACAGCTTGACACAAGCGAGTTGACAGGTTGGCAGTCCATACCAATCCAAAGGCACCTCAGAAAACATGCCTAACAGTTTGCTTACAAAAGATCACAGTCTTAAAACCCTGTACAGCAAAGTTCTTTGCATATAGAGGGTGAGTCAGAATTGACCAGTGACAACTAATAGCATTGGAATTCAGTGACTGAGTCTCTTTACATAAATCTAGTTTTGGGAGTGACTTGAACATAATTTCTAACAGTATCGTTTTGTAAACTCAGACTATTTTTTATCTTTCAATAATGTGATAGTACACTTCTACAACTTAGGATTATTTTTACAGTTGTGCGTTATTGCAGAATGTGGAGAATTAAAAGAAGGAGAAGATTGGGGAATATTCCCAAAAGATGGTTCTGGTGACAGTCATCCAGATTTCCCTGAGGATGCGGATATAGATTTAAAAGATGTGAGTACCAGTACTTTCAGACTAGTCAAACTTTAGTCAATTAAAACTCTAAAAAAAATTCTTGTGTCAGTTTGTCCTAATGATAAAATCTAGCATAAAACCCACAAAAATCCAACATATTTGTATTCTTTGTTTTATATAGGTAGATAAAATTTTATTGGTAACAGAAGACTTAAAAAACATTGGGAATACTTTCTTTAAATCCCAGAACTGGGAGATGGCCATAAAGAAATATGCAAAAGTTTTAAGGTAATAAAATATTTTTAATGTCACTTTTAAGAATTTTTAGATTAAATTACAAACAATTGAAGTTGTCCATTGGAAAGTTTTTGGAAAATTACTTGTAGTATAACCAGGTGTTTGGAAATAATTGTATTTCTTTTGTAGCTCCCAACTTATTTTAAAGAAAAAAATTCCAAATTTAGAAAAGTTGAATGACATGAATACTCATATAATTTGTACATATGCTCGCTAATATTTATCTTTTATAGACCATTTCAAAAGGAAGTTGGCAGATACCATAACTCTTTACTCCTAAATATTTCAGCATGTATTTCCTAAGGACCAGCAATGTTCTAATATCCTCCATTTCACTATAACACCTCTAAAATAAATAGCACTTATAGAATATTATATATTATGCAGTGAATATTCACATTTCCTCATTTGTTTCACTTAAACAACATACCAAAAAACCAACCCAGTATCCAAACTGGGACATTATCTTAGGTCACTTGTAGCATCTTTTCAGTTTTCTTCTAAACATTAACATAAACATGATATAAATTCATGATGTTAACATTTTGGTTAACTTCAGGTCAGTTATTGTGTAGAAACACCATTTGTTTGCTCTAGATTGAGGCTAGATATTTTGTCAGGACTTGAGTGGGCGATGTTGTAAATTCCTGCTGACTATCTGAAAGGTACACATTTGGTTTATTTTGAGTTCTGGCACTGTGTTAAAGTGCTGTCATCTGGATGTTTATTAATAAATAGTCCATGAGGTGGTATTGTGAGATTGTGTAAATATCTAGGCCACAGCAACTTTTCATCAAATGGTTTTAACAACATTCACAATCCTTGCCTGAATCAGCTATCATATTGATGATTACAGAACTGTAATTTTTCTAGTCTTTTCCTTCTACAGTTATCTGGCATTCTTCTGTTTGAAAGATTCCCTTTTCTCTCTTTTATTATCACTATAATCTGTGGAGCTCAGTTCTATTGAGTAACATGCGTAGATGTTTCCTAATTCAATCTGTTAAATTATTTTTTATGGTGCTCAGATTTGCCCAGTAGAACACCCCCTTCCCTTCCCCCCAAGTCTGGCCCCTATATTCTTTTTACATGTTCCAATTCATCTGTATGCATTTGCTTGTTTCTGATACAAGATGGTCTAGGCTTGTATTTATCCTTGCGTCCAGTTCTGGTATTAGCAGTTTCTCCAGGGAGCCGTGATCTTTTTTAATGGGAGATAGACATTAGAAATGGAATTTTGGGGGCCAAATGTTTCTTTGGGGCTCTTTATGTAGATACAGCTGGGAACTACACTAGTTAGGTCTGCTAACATAATTCAGAAAATCAGCAGTAGAGTCCTTTATGTTTCCCCATTCCATTCCCTTCTCATGGTGAGAACCCTAGTTACAAACATAATTATATTGAAATGCCTGAATAGAAATGTATTGTTGTTTTTGTGTAATTACCATTAGATTAGGAATTGCTCTTAAATTGGCCTCTTGGAATGCTTTTGAAAAACAAAAAGAAAAATGTTATAAAGTAAAACATGTATGTAAAAAAAATATTGTAATCATTAAGAATATTAATAGCATTTAATGTTTTCATGTCAGAAATTATATACCTTTGACATAGTTGAGAAAGCAGTCTTATTTATATGGTATACATACTACTTTTGTTAATACTTTTTACAGGTATGTGGAAGGATCAAAGGCTGTTATTGAGAAAGCAGATAGATCTAAGCTACAACCTGTAGCTTTAAGTTGTGTGCTGAATATTGGTGCTTGTAAACTAAAGATGTCCAATTGGCAGGGAGCAGTTGACAGCTGCTTAAAGGTAAGTCCGTTTGCTGTTTGAACATGGAAGAGTTCAATTCTGACAATTTTAACAAAAGTCATTTTTATATACTTTGATATATCTTACTTCAGTAGAATTTAATGAGGCTAGATATTAAGTCATCTTGTTTCTAAATAATTTGAATCTTTATTCACAAAAATTCATTTTGCTTACAACATTGTGTCACTTTTATACCTGTGAAGATACTTTATTTCCTCCAAGCAGACAGATCAACTCATTTAATCACTTAACATATGAACATACTTATCAAGCACATACTACTTAAACCAGGAATGATTAAATGCATGGGTTGTAATGTGAGGCATTGTTTTTGAATAAACCTTGGCTGCTTGCTTTGTGATCTAATTTTTAGGGTTTCAATGCCTTTATCTATAAAATGAATATATTAATATCTGCCTCAAGGGACTGTAAGAATTACTTAAGGTGTTTTGCATAGAATTTAGCACATTTAAAGTACTTAATAAATATAGTCATTGTTATTTAAAAACAGATTTAGGCCTATAAGAAGCTTTAGGTTTAGCAGAGGAAGGAGTACATTTCAATATAGGGCATGAGGATTTGCATGGAAGAAGAATAAGTACTATTGAAAAGCACAGAAAAGTCATCTATCTAAATGTGGGACATACAGGAATACTAATTGATAATGCAAGGAAAAGTAACAGCATTACCCTCTTCAAACGGCAGTATGATCCTCTTCCTTATTGTATATTTTATTTGAAAAATATTCCAAACTAAGACCACTGGTAATATTTACATGTAATTGTCACTTTAACCTGTGTGTACATATATCAGCTAATCCAGAATAAGTAGAAATAAAATAAGATCCTAATTTAGTAGGGTGTGGGTGGAATAAGATAAGAATGGTTGCTATTGTTAAGTGCTGTCGAGTCAGTTACAAGTCAGCAACCCTGTAGATAGTGTTTCTGAAAAGCAGGTGATGAATTTGAACCACTGATTCTGCAGTCAGACCGACCTTGCAGTCTAGTGCTTATCTTAATAGCATCACACCCGGACTCCAAGAGAAGAATAAGTGTTAGTATATGGATCTCTTTTACCCTTTGTGAGACAGATAATTCCATATTCAGTAACACTTAAGTTTTGGCTTTTAATTAATAGATGCTATGCATATAAAATATACTATTTAAAAGATGTGTTAGGGAGAAACTTGCTATTAGTTAATTCATGCCCCTAAAAAAACCCTGGAATTAAAAATAAAAGTGTATATAAATTATTACTCGAAATGGTTTTCTTCATAAATACAAGAAGGCTTCAAAAACTTCATGGAAATTTTCCTTAGGAACTTTTTGAAGCCCCCTCGTACAGCTTATCAGTTAAGTGCCCACTCAGAAGACAGAAATCACACAGTAATTTGAACAGGAGAAGTTTAATATATGAAACTATAGCATAGGATTGTAAATATGGGGGATTGGCTAGTAAGGTACAGAATTCTAAAGGATATAGAACAGCAGTTAACGGTGTATTAAGTATGTGTATAATACATAAATCATATACTATTGGTAGGACTGTGGCAGCTCTTATAAGGAAGAGACCATCCTCCTCTGGGCTGAGATCAGGACCTCACTGGAAAAGGGCATGACTGTGACTCAGTTATGACAGAGAAGTTCTTTGAGGTGCCCCACCTATGGAACTTGCTGGCACCTCTTTGTAATGTAAGGAGGTTGTCACAGGGAGCTGCTATAAGCTGTTTGCCAAACTTCCTGCAGGAGCCTGCTGAGGGGAGCACACTGTTCTCTTCATTCAGTGGCCTCTACTGTTAGAACTTAACCAGGAGCCTGCTGAGGGGAGCTCACTGTTCTCTTCATTCAGTGGCCTCTACTGATAGAACTTAACACTGCCAATTGGCAAAGGAGAGATACTTGTAGGACCAAGGTCCATTACCATAGAGCAGTGAAGAGTAGATTTGGAGCTAACAGGCAATAAGTTAAGAAGTGGCACATTTAATACTGACAGCTTACATATAAATATTAATTTTACCATTTTTTATAGGCTCTTGAAATAGATCCATCAAATACCAAAGCACTATACCGCAGAGCTCAAGGGTGGCAGGGATTAAAAGAATACGATCAAGCACTGGTAAAATTTTGTTCTAAATTTTTTACTTTTAAAAAATAGCTTTTTATTTATCATACTCCTAATTGTTCTTACACACACACTGTCCCCCCCCACCACCCTTTTTTTTTTTTCCAATTAAAGGCTGATCTTAAGAAAGCTCAGGAGATAGCACCAAATGATAAAGGTAAGTTGGCAGTTTTTGTAGTGAAAGTTTATTTCCTTTTAGGTATTTATCTGCACGGATCATTGTATCCTTTGTCACTTAGATACTGGTAAACTAATATTACAAAGATCATATAGCAGTGAACGGGACAGTTAAAATTCTTGTTCTGAAAGAATTTACTTTATACTTCCTCTCCAGGATGTGCTATTTTTTCTTACATCTGAGCTCTGTTGCACTATGTTACTGTTATTTGAGACCTGGTTATGCTTACTATAATCCTAGGTGAAGACTCAGCACTGAAAGATACAGTATTCATGGTGAATTTAAGGTCTGGAATGATTCCTTGAGCCGAATGTGGCCATAAGAAAGAATCTGCAGCAGGACTTAACCTTTTTAATTCTAATCTAGTGTATTAGCTAACGGTATTTAATGCAGAGTGTTAGGCATCTATGACAAAAATAAACCGGCTTTTCAGTTACGCCATGTATTAATAGTGACGCTAAATATACATGTCAAAAAAGATCTTTGGTCTTTTGTGGCTAAAGTGAAACCAGAGGCACTTTCTGCCTTAGCAAGCAAAGAGATATGGCCTATCTCTGTAATTGAGGTCTCTCACTTGATTGTTAAAAGTGCTGTTCAGTTGGTTCAGGCTCATAGTGACCTTGTATAGGCTTTTTTGTGGAGCTTCTAGGAAGTTTGAACTTCTGACTTTGTGGTTAGCAGTCCAGTGCTTATCCTACAGCAACTCCTTCATTACTTTATGGGGAAGGAAAATTGGAGTTATCAAAGGGAGTTAACTATAATGTTAAAATTAGTTGATCACATGAAAAAAAAATTCTGATAACTTGTATTTTTATTTTACAGCTATCCAGGCAGAATTGCTGAAAGTCAAACAAAAGATAAAGGCACAAAAAGATAAAGAGAAGGCAGCTTATGCAAAAATGTTTGCTTAATAATTCAATTTTCATAAATATGCATTGATTGCATAAATGCAATAAGAAAATTTAAGAGTGTTTATGATCCCTAATGTGTTTTTGTTCTTTGCAATAAGAAAATTTAAGAGTTTATGATCCCTAATGTGTTTTTGTTCTTTTACGCTTTAGTTTCCCATTGGTTGTAACTTAGGAATCTTGATGTGGCCTCACTTTTAATAAAACAGTGTTACAAAGTACATTTGAAGTTGATCTTCACAAACACTTATCCTGTTACTAAAACATCATCTTGATGAATAAAGGAAAGCTGAACTTTTAATATGACAGTGAAAGCTGTTCAAGCCAGAGTTCCATGGGACACCTTGCTTTTCCCTGTCTTGTAAGGGGTGCAGTCACCACTTCCTGTTGCTTTGTTGAGTGGGAAATTCTGTATTTTTGGCATATCATGTGTCCATGTAAACAGTACACCCATGAGTATAGCACACAGTATATGCTTAGGAAATTAACTGCATGAGAGGATTGTGTGGTTTATAAAAACTTACCAGCATGGTTTGTGTGTAAAGTATAAGGTATTGGAGGGTTTCTTCTCTGACAGATTTCCACCGTTTCTGGCTCTTTTGCAGGTTTTGTTGTATTTTTTTCCCTCAGATCTGTGATACATATCTCTGGCTGGTTTGTGCTGGTGTTTTATACTTATTAGACAATACACATATCTGTTCATCAAAAATTGCCTCAGTGGTCTAGAATATGGGCTGGCAAACTTGTTACGTAAAGGACTGAATAGTACATATTTTAGGCCTTTTGTGGACTAGTCAAAATACTCAATTCTGCAGTTGTAACTTATAGGCAATATGTAAACCAATGGGTGTGGCTGTATTCTAATAAAGTTTGTTCATAAGAAAAGTTGTGGGCTAGATGTTGACACCTCTTCTAGAATATGTAAATTCATTTGTATACTTGACTGGCTGGTAAAATGTACATTTAGGTCAATAATGTTTTACTGTTGGGTCTAAATTGCTAAAATGAAGTTAAGTAGACACTACATCAGGTTTTAAGAAATTTTCATAATTCTTACGGGAAAATTTTTGGTATCGTATGAAATTTTTATTTGTTTTGTGAACATTCTGATCAATATATATACTGTAATATGATATTTTGACACTTGTGAGCCTTTAAATGTTTTAAAGTTAGCTGGGTATACAGTTTAAAAGAAACTGAACTATCAAATGCACTTGGAAATGAAGTAAGTTGTACTTTACATTCCATTGTAAGCAGGTCCTCCACCACCTTCGGGTACTACCCAGTTAATATTCTGACTTGGATCTTTAATATCACATGTTTTGCAATGCACACAGTTCTGAGCATTTATCTGTAACCGAAATCCATCACCCTGTTCCAAAGGAACATACTCGTAAACTCCTGTGAAGTAAAAAGACATAGTTGAAGTACATACCTAACTTTTCTAACTTTAAAATTCAATAGTAGAAATTGTAATCCCAGAAATGGTAAACACAGAATCCTTAAAAGTTGTTTTCTGAATGTTTACTTATAAAACATATTACTAGGATCTTTTATGCTTTTACTATTAGTATAAATCATGCTATGCCAGAGTTACAGCAGTATTCGGCTGAGTTAGTCTTATTAACTAGATAACTGATCAGGCATGTTTGAAAAATATGTGTGTTAGGTGCCATCGAGTCAGTTCTGACTCAGCAAGCCTATGCACAACAGCGATATACTGCCTGGTCTTTGCTATATTTTGAGCCTGTTGCTGGATCCATGGTCAGTCTATCTCTTTGAAGGCCTTGCTTTTTTTTTTTTTTTTCTTCGCTGACCCTCCATGTACAATTATGTATGGTAAGTTGTTTTCAACTCGTAGCTACACTCTTAGGTTCTCTGGGGAGTTTGAACCACCAGTGACCTTGTGGTCCAGTGCATTAACCCACAGTGGGATTCAAAAAAGTTCATGATACAATTCCACATGAGAAGCATACTGTGTGTGTATATAAAATGCCAATGAATTGGTTCCAATTGATAGCAACCCTGGAGCAGCTGGTGACTTGAATTGCTGACTTTGCACTTGTAGTTCAAACAATTTGTAATCCAGTGCTTGTCCTTCGGTGCCATACTGGGACTCACTTCACCTCATTATGTGTGTGTCCAGTTCTTAGACCCTCACAAGGAGTTTATAAAACATTGTGATGACATAATTTGTAAAAAAATCACATTTTCAATATCGTATAATCCACTTAGTTTTAGGATAGACAGGAAATACATTAATATTTAGGAACAGATTGAAATCACATTACTGACCTGCAGGGCAGAATCGCTGCTCGGGTCCATCATATATAGACAGATTTCTATTTACAGGTACACTGTCATCCTTGAGGGTTAAATGTGCTGGCTGGTCATGTTCATGATTAGTACCACTCAGAGCCACAGATGATAAGAGATCAAAGCTGATCTGTCCATCAGGTTTTGGATACTCAATAGGGGTGCAATCCTTGGCTGGCTTTAGCTGATTAGAGTCAAAACCTTTGACAGTTTGAGGAAGGTAGTTAAGAAAAATATAGCATTAATTTAAAAGTATAAAAATACTTAGACATAGTATACCAAAGAAGTACACAGTTTCTGTACACTGAATTTATAATTTAACAAGAAAATTTCCTAATAGTTTTCTCTGATTAAAAAAGAATCCAAAACATTAAAATAAGATAGGTCACAATTTCCATTAAAATGGATCCTATTCATGAATTTCTAATTATAGAAAGCAAGTGCTGTTGTGTCAGTGTGACTCATAACCACCCTGTATAGGGTTTCTGATGAGCAAGCAGCTGGTGAGCTTGAACCGCCGACCTTGCAGTTCAAATGGCTTTGCAGTCTGATGCACTCACCACACCATGAGTGCCACACCAGCACTCATAGAATTGTTGTGAAGTGCCGTTGAGTTGATTCTGATCCATAGCGACCGGTATAGGGTTTCTAAGGAGCCGCTGGTGAGCTCGAATACATACTCTTAAATTATGTTAAAAGTTACCTTTATGTTTTAGAGTCCATGGTTCCATTCCTCTAAATACCCAGTAAAATATTCCAGTGTAAATCATTCCTCCATATAAACCCAGGAATCCATGGCAGGATGGTCTTATATTTCTAACAGAATAAAGTTCTTTCCATATCCATGATTTCTTCAAATTTTCTTCATATTCAGTTACGTGGAGTCCTTTTATTAAAAACATGAAATGTTAAATATGGGATTATGTCAAGAAGTATAAAATACCCAGTAGTCAAGGTATTTTGCTATTGAAATATAAAGTGAATCTTAAATACACTTTTCAAAACAGGTGCTCATATAAGGTCACATTCAAGAATCCATGTATAAATCATCCAAAAAGAATCATTTGATAAACTAATCCTGCTGTTTGTCAATATATTTGATGTTTTATATGGTAGCATGGAAAATTAGTTTCAAAAGTCAGTGAAAATGACAATCTTCAGAAAAAGTTCATAGTACTTAAAAAAGGAAATGTTTACAGTTTACCAGTGACACTACTTCATACCTAAATATTCGTATACATATTTTATATTTATACTCTGAATCCTAGTGTGGTGCTGTGGGTTAAAACACTACTGCAAAGTCAGTTTGAACTGCAAGGTTCAAGCTTAGCAGCAAGCTCCTCTGAATCCTTATACAGGGTTGCTGTATTAGAACCGACTCAACAACACTTAACATTTTATACTTAATGGGACAAACTGGTTCTTCAATGCCTTTTCCATACTCTACTACTTAACTTGCCAGTCATTGTATCCTGTATTGGCTTCTACTCCCAGTTTCCTTACAGCTTATACTTTTCAGTGTTTATTTCATGACTCTTGGCTCTATTTCTATGTGGAACATGATACAGTGAGTAACCAACAAGCAAAGATACTTGGGAAGAAAAGGGAAAAAGTTCCACTACCCACCCATTACACTCTCGCCTTGTCCACTCTCTTCTCCGTGTGTGGTGTACTCTCTTGATTATTCTGTGCCATACCTGCTCCTCCCACACCCACAAAGAGATTTGAAGGTATAACTAGGTTTCATACTTCAATTAGAAGGACATTTGTTGTTTGGAATTCTAAGGAATAAGTTTTATCAAATACCAAGTTTCCATTATGTGCCAGGTATATAGAATTCATAGCAAAGTCCTTGCTCTAGGAATTCTGAGCAAAGTGGGAGGGATGATAAACTCAAATTATACAGTGTGCCAAAAGATGAAAAATAAACGGTGGGGACTGGAAGGGCTCTGCTATAATTTAAATGGTGTGGCCAAGGTCAAGCTACTATGAGAGAGATGAGCAAAGGTGATGTGAATAAGAAGCCATGTGCAAAGACCATGAGGTGGGAGTATGCAAGAGAATAAAGCAGAGGGTAGGATCTTTGGCTTTTACTTTGAGGAAAACAGAACCACGGGGCATGACTTTTTAAATTAAGGGTTTAAGTGGAACACTGGCTCTATAGGATAAGCATTGGACTGTTAACCACAAGGCTGCTGGTTTGAATCCACCTGCCACTCCATAGAAAGATGATGCTTTCTGCTCTGGTAAAGGTCTGCAGCCTCGGAAACCCTACACGAGGGTTACTACTGACTTGACAGCACTTTACAACAATAACACAAGGGGTTTAAGTATCTATTAAGGTATACGCTGGCTGTCCCCTACCACAGCAGAAAAGTCATATGCTTGTGCTTCCAAAGTCTGCTAAGGAATAGGTAACTTAGATTTTGCAGTTTGCAAAGATACTCTTATTTTTTCATGAAAACAAGTACTTGTGAGGTACTTATTTATATTACATATATGCAATGAAGTATATTTTAAATTTCAAAATATTTTCTAAAGTGGGACATCACTGGTATTCTATTTCATGTTACTAAAACAATTTAGCTGTAAAAATCTCTAATGGAGAAGAGGAACATGTTTAAGAAGTTGTCTTGCACAGCACACATCTTCGTACTTTGTATAAAAGGATGGGTATACATCTTTATGGTTTCAATTGAAACAGCCATAAAAAAGACCTTAAGACTTTTAATTGCATATGAGTCCAAGATATGAGGGGGCTTCAAAAAGTCTGCGAAACAATGGAATAGAAAGATCATGGACGTTTTCCTTAACTTTTTGGCGCCCCCTTGTACATTCTGTGAAATAGGTAGGACATTGTGCAAACACCATATCAGAACATGGGAGCCTGCTTCTGGTTGTCCTTGGCACCACTGCTGGAGCTGCTGGTGGAGAACAGATGGAAGTTGCAGTAGGAGTGCAGCATGAGAAAGCAAGTGAAGCATACTTGGCCTCACCCACCTAAACAGCAGGAGCAGCCCGGGTTCCTGCAGTTCCTGCCAGTCAGCCTGCCCAGCAAACAAAGCCCAAGAGCCATGAACTGTTCCTCACCAGCCTGTAGTCCACCTATGGTCCAGTCCTGCAAGAATCTGAGTTTGGGATCTTTAAAATCAGTAGGGGGGAAATAAAAGGAGAACTGCTTCCCCTCAAGAAAAATCGAACACTTATGGGACCATAGAAGTTGCCTGACAGACGTTTAACTGCATATAACCTGTATTTTAAGGTGCTCTGGTAGTGTAGTGGTTACAAATTGGGCTGCTAATCTCACGGTCAGCAGTTCAAAAATACCAGCTGTTCCGCGGGAGAAAGATGAGGCTTTCTGCTCCTGTGAAGATTTACAGCCTCAGAAACCCTGTATAGGGTCGCTCAGTTGGAACCGACTCCACAGCACACAATAACAACCACCTGTATTTTAATTTTCTATATAATTCATGTATTCTTAAACTGGATGATGCAAACAAACAGTTACGTGCTCAACTGAAAGGCTAGGGGTTCCAACTGACCCAGAGGCACTTTGGAAGATATAGTAATATGTTTCTGAAAGAACACAGCCTTGAAAATCTTACATTTTATTAAGTGCTGTTGAGTCAGTTCTGACTTGTAACGACCTGCACACAGGGATGTTGACAGAAACTAACAGTAAAACATATTTAAGTTGTGGCTGTTAAGTGCCATCGAGTTGGTTCCTACTCAATGACCCTGAATAGGACTGCCACTTTAAACTGCCAACCTTGCAGTAAGCAGTCCAGTGCTTACCTACAGCACCACACCAAAACGGCATAAATGCTTCTTTTAAAAGTCAAAGAAGAACATATTTTCTTTCCTATAAAGTACTTACCTATTGTCTTTGACTGGAGATTTTCACTGGTTAGTTGCTTAAAAATTGATTCTGCTGCCAAAATTCCACTTTTCATTGCTGTATGGGTACCTTTGATTTTGGGAACGTTCATGAAACCAGGACTACAACCAATCAGTAACCCACCAGGGAATGTCAGTTTTGGTATAGACTGAGGAAAGAAGGATTCAAAGTACATTTGTTAGCTGAAAATAAAACTTCTAAATTTCCTTTCAAAACTATAGGAAAAGTTGAAAAATAAACATGTGAAACAAATACATGAAAGGAATATAAAAGCTAAAGAAGCAAATGAGCAAGATTAATTTTGTTGTTGTTAAATCCAGGAGTTTTTTCCCCTGCCTAAGAATGAATCTATGGGTTGTTACTAAATTTCTATTAGGATTTCCCCTTGGAGTCCTGGTGTAGCGCTATAGGATAAACATGGGACTGCTAACAGAAAGGTTGGCTGTTCAAATCTACCAGCTGCTCCTTGGAAACCCTATACAAGGTCTCTATGAGTCAGACTGACTCAATGGCATTTAGTAACAATAATGATTAGGATTTCCTCTTAGAACTATTGAATAAAAAGCATTAAATCAAGATCACAGAATTGGGGGGGGGGTGTATCTAGAGTGATACTAGAGTCCAAAATGGTAGTTTCAGTCCTAAGATTAGGTTAAAAATACCGTGTGTCTTTGAAGTTCTGGGAGGATCCTATCTGGTGTGGGCAGTGTTACTGGCAGGTGAGCCTGTTAGAGAACTTCAAAGAAAAGCTGCACTGAAAAACTGATGTATTCTGGGTCATTCATTAAACTGAGGCAAGAAATAATTAGAAACCAACTCAGAAAGATAACTTTTGGTGTAGACTAAAGGAAGAGAAAAAAAAAAGTATTCAAAATAAACCAATAATCTAGCTAGTAGTTCAATTGTGCCCTTTGACACTCTTTGAGTTCTATACTTATATAATTATTTTCCTGAACCTATTTTTGACAGATCCCCAGTGAGATGGATTGGCAAAGTGGGCGCATTAATGGGCTCAAGTGTGGCAACAATTGTGAGGTTGGCCCAGGATCAGGCAGTTTCGTTCTGTTGTGCATAGTACGGTCGCTTTGAGTCATGGCACCTAACAACAACAACTTGTTCTTGATTTAACTAAGTAGATATATACCGTAAAACCTCTGAGAGTTTTTCTGCCTTTGACAAGGTGCAGTCTTACCACCTTTCTTTCACTCTTTATTGTTGTTGTTGTTGTTGTTAAGTGCCGTCGAGTCGGTTCCGACCATAGCGACCCTATACAGGGTTTCCGAGGGTGTAAATCCTTACGGGAGTAGAAAGCCTCATCTTTCTCCCACGGAGCGGCGTAGTTTCGAACCGCTGACCTTAAGGTTCGCAGCCCGATTCGTAACCACTACGCTACCAGAGCTCCTTATTAGTGCAAAGTATTTTAGTTTTCTTTCTCTGATAGTGTTTCAGCTGTCACAGGTCTCACTAAATATCAAGAGAATTAAAGTACTAAAAGCAAGAGTTGAATGCTTTG